TCGTAGATGGAGGCCGTTGCCCGTCGCCCGTAGATGACGTCTACATCTCTCACGGTACTATTTATTTCAGAGTTAGTGATAATGAACTTCTTTTCTTGCTCGGTGGCTACTGTCACACTGTAAGTGAATGTTTTTTTTTTTTAATGTCTACACCATGTGTGGATTTTCTTGGCCTGATCTGTAGCTGTTTGTGATTGTGAGTGAATGTTAAGGAATTGTTTGGTACCGTTTCTATTTATTTATTTTTAATAAAGGAAAATGTATTGTATGATTCCTAACCTCCAAGAATTCAAGTATGATAACAACCTTTTTGTTTATGTTTTAACTAATTGGAAATATGAACAAGAAAGAAGAAACTTATTTTTATTTGTTTCTAAAATTTCTATACAATTGAGAGAGTGCTTCCAAAAAAGGAGAAACAAGAAACAAAGTTAGTTGTAAAATACTTAGATTTCTTAAGATAATTGGAAATGAGAAATAAGAAACTAGAACGTTATCAAACGGGCCCTAACTTGTTTTTTAATGCTTGCACTGTGAATGGATTCTCTCTTTTATCTCTCAATTGGTTTGTTTGAGACTTGGAAAGTTGAAACCTTGCTTGCTGATTTTTTTGTTTGGAAATTGAAAGCTTGGTGATAAATGATTAACTTGTTTTTTCAGTACAGATTTTAAGGGAAAAGAAAAAAAGAGGGTCAACCCAGCGTACTGGGTTGGGTTGGCCATAATATCCGGTTACTTCGGTTCCCTTATCTTTGGTCCAAGAAGCCCCTTGAACCCAACCCACACCCTGAATCTTATATATTAAGAGGAAAGTTATGGGATTTTGGTTTATTCTATTTCATTGGACCTAACTTTCAAGTAGGCATTGTATTCTGTAAGTATGCGTGAGCTCGCATGTCCCCAATGCTGTTGGCTACCTTGATTGTGTAATTCACTGCTCAATTTGCTCCATTTGTTATCTCTGGGTAAGACGTTAGATTGTCTCGGATTTTGGGATTTCTGCGCTACGGTCTATTGTTTACCCCCTAAGTTTCTTCGTGATGGTCCCAAAATTACCTGATTTAGATTTCTATTCTATCTGTAATTTCTAACTTTTTTTAATATGATATGTGCTATCATCTCTTGATTTATGATCTATCTGTTTTGTGTGCACATTCTCATGCTTCCCACTTCCCAGGTATAATATTACAAAGATGAGACAACATAAGGAGGAATTATATTGCAGTTCCACCCAAGTAAGCATTCTGAACTCAATTATAATTTCAATGATTTTATTTGGTTAAGTTATTTTCTCTTTTAGTTTAGTTAGAAATGGAGTTGGTCTATAGCTAAAGTTCTGCTAATGGTCTTTAAGTTGCGCCTAAATTGTCATCAAATGGACTCTATTCCCTCTTGTCAACATGAATTGATGTTCTTTTATTCTTGAACAGGCCATTGACTTAATGTCAGCGGTAAAGGAATTAAATAAGTTATGTTCTCAGGAACTTAGTAAACTTTTGAGGGACTCTGAAAATTTTGCAGTACACTACACTTCTGAGAACAGCATACAGAAAACGGTTAGAATTGTTTTATTTATGACTTTTTAAATTGCTAATTAGTTGTACCATTTCTTATAGACGTGCAATATTGTGCATCATGTTGATTTCAGATTGACGTAGAAAAGCTTTCAGGCCTCCTTCCTTTGCACCTCATGGCTGTTCTTATGTCATCTGACAGAGATGAGGCATTGTTCAGATATCTGCTATGTGGTGTGCGGCTCTTGCATTCTCTGTGTGATTTAGCTCCCCGACATGCTAAACTTGAGCAGGTTGGTTATGGCTTGAAAATATCCCAAATCTTTGGGAGTTTCTTTGCAAGTTGATGTTTCTATTTTCCCTATAAAAGATGTGTTTACTAACTCCAATCTTCATAGAGATTAAAAATTAACTGGTTGGCTTAACCCTAGAATAAAAGTTCAACATATTCACTTATTTATTTGGTTGTTGACGTGTTTGAGACTAAGTGAACGAAAGAAGGATGACTAAAGTTGAAATTAGGTAATGGTATTCTTATCTCGTCGAGATATTGGCATTATTTGACTTTCAACTCAATAGATGTTTGTTTTTCTTAGTCTCAGGAGTTGTTTGGATTTAATTTTAAAATACCCTAAAAATGTTTCAAGAAAAGGAAGGTTAAGAAAAGAAGAGATGTTATCCTAGATCTTCTTGATTGGACTTCAACACCTAAGATGTACAGAAATGAGGACAGGGCTCTTCCTAAAACCTTTAAGCATAGACTCATGGACACGTTTATTAAAACATGTTTGTGTATTTTACCACCATTTAATGGTTTTATAATCTAAAGTTTGTATCTAACAAATCTAAATATTTTTTGGAATTTTGAAGAGTGCCTGGGCACGAAAGTGAGGCGCACATGCCTTAGTGTCTCATATCATTTTTTTTTTGTAAAAAAATAAAAAAATTTTTCTTCAAAATCCCTCATTCCTCTTAACAATCTCTTACCAAAGCTCTAGTTTTTTAAAATTTTCGTTTATCTTATTCTTAAAAATACTATATCTTTTCATGTATAAAAAATTTATTTACATTTTTATATTGTGTTTCTCACAAAAAGAAACCCTCAGTTATTTTTCTTCACACCCAAAGGGTTGTTGCACACGATATTTGCTTAAAAATATAACATGATAAAAATATAACATGAAAGAAGAGACAAGATAGTTATGGATGTTGGTGGTGCATTCTATGATGCTCACATCCCTTCTAGAAGAAGTCCAAAACCGTATATTTGGATAGGAACACTTGGCTTCAAAGGAACTATAGATTATTCTATGGAAGGGAGAGGAGCTTCACTTATTCATTTGACCTTATTTTGTATACGGTGGCCACTTGAGGCAAGCTAGATAAATCCTTTTATAATTATTATCTTAGTGATATATATGCTAAATGCTCTAATTGGAGGAGATTTTGTTACGCCCACTAATCTTGGTGGTTTCTCTCAAGAAGGGAAAAAATGATCCTTATGAGATGAAAAGAAAATTAAATATATACATGATGCCATTATAATATTATATTTGAATTAAACTCTGGTGGGGCAGGTAAGGATGTGATTGGAACTCAGAATTGGAAGCTTGTATTTTTTTTTTGATAAAAACAATTTCATTGAGGTATGAAATTACATATACAGTTGTAGCATGCTACCCACCACATTATTGTTTTGGAGGTACTAGTAAACTAACTAATACTAAGAAATGTTTCTTCGCTCTCTCCCACATTGGATACTTGGGCCTTATAGTCTTGGTTGAGGGTGTAGCAGCTGACCATCTGAGATTACAACTATGACGTAATGGCCTTCTCTAGGGAACCTTTTATGGAATTTCAAGGGTGCTAGGGATTAACTGGTCACTAATATTAAAAATAATTGTAGCTAACCTTGGAACTATTGCTTTAAATTTAACATAGCAACTTACCAACTGTAGTTTTAATGAAGTTACGAGCTAGGATATGCACTTTAGCCATTTAAATTGTCACTGTCCAAAGTCCCTGCCTTCACACTACTTGATTTTCAAAACCCTTAATCTTCCGAGAGATTGCTGCTTCTTAGTTAGGTGTTGGGGCGGAGCCTTCATCAGTGTCTTCACACTACTGATTTATTTTACCCACGTTCTTCCTTAAAGTCACTATCAGACTATCAGTATAAGGCAACTTATGAGAGAGAAATAATAACTGCAATGTAAGCAATGCAAAATTGTAGGCCATAGTTACTAGGGTGCAAATTAATTGTTAGAATAGATAAGAAAAGCTTAAAATTTGTATTGTACAAGCGACCAGTTGGATGTGAGGTGACTACCAAGGTTTGATCACTAAGCTCAGCTCATTGGCTACAACTTTGATATAGAGTACTATTGTAATCCAAGCGTAAATTGTTAAATTAAATTAAATTTTGTTTAAATTTGAGAATTAAATTTGTTAAAAATGACTTTTCAAAGGGAGACTTTTTATGTCGATGGTGCATTCTACGATGAGGCCTCTTGTTGAACTACAGTGTGACTAGTTTTACCTCCTGATTTGCCAACAATTCCTTTGTTGTTACAATTCCTTTACAAAGTTGATAAGCTCCAAAGTTGCTCGGATTTACAAAGCTAGAGGTCCTTCTAGGATCCTTGCAAACATTCATAAAAGTGACTAACTTACCGAATGATTCCAACCAAGAGTAGGGTTAGAAGGATGAATAACTCTTCGATCACACGTAGAATCTATGATGGTCACTCTTAAATCCTAAGATGACTCACTCCATAATTAGCTTGATCGAGACCAATCCAATGAATTGATTTAACATCAAACCTAAAACAAGATTTGAAAGAGGCAACACCAATGTGTCAAGGAACAAAAGTTCTTGATTTCAAAATGTTAAATCTTCATAATCTCCATATCAAGAGCATTACTTTAAATAGGCCAAAGGGTCGTTCAACATGAGGAGACCAAAAGTCTTTCAAAATCATATTTAATGTAAATTGAAGAAAATAAGACACGAATTTAAAACTTAATTGCACATCAATCTAGATGTCTAAATGCGTAACCAAAAACATATAAATGCTCCAAATTGTCTTGATTACGTTTTGTAGGAGGCGCTTCACGTTTGGATAGGGTTTGACCGACTTCAAAAACTCCTGAGAGGTGCAATCTGCCAAGACACCTGTTCACAATTCTGCAAACTTTTTTCGTGCTCTGTGCTATCTATCAAAATAGACAACTTTTCCAGTGCCATCTTTGTTCAATTCTCTACTTGACTTGTTAGTAACATTATAAATAAATTTGGGCTCAAAACTCTTTGTTGGTTATTCTGCATTAACCGGCTTTTAAAGATGTAGCGTGAAAACTTCTTGAATCTTCTTTGCATTGTGCTTCTTGTAATTGCTCATTTGTGTACATGTAATTGGTCACAAATGGATCAGTATCAAGTCTAAGTGGTGTCTTGTGTATCAACAAGCAAATGTTCGGGTAAGGACTCTTTAGCCAATACCCATTTCTCACCGTGTGGGAAGATGTCTTGAGGGACATTATACTACTCCGTGGTCTATTCTATAGAATATCTTTTGATACAAATAAAATCTTCACCAGCATATTTTGGTAAGAACTTTTAAACGCCAAGAAACTCAACTTAAAAGAAGCAAACACTTGCAATCGAATGTTCTGTTAGTAGGGGGGTTGGCAATTTACCTCCATTGTAATGCTGTAATAATAATACTTCTCGCCAAGCTTTTAAAAGGCTTTTAAAGCTTATGCTTAAAGATTGAAGCACAACTGTTTAGTCTCAAGGCTTAAGCATTGTATGCTTCATAAAAAACTTGCAGCGTATTGAGCATGGAGCCTTTGTGCCTCATGTAATATCAGTACAATATGGGTTATGGTAGTCTAGCCTATTATGATTATTTTTGCCATTATAGCTCAATAGAGAATACAATGATCTTGTTAGTGATTTTTGATGTTGAGAACAACCTTTAGAAAATAATACTTTCTATTAATTTGAGGCTTTGCCTCATAGTACCTCAAGTGTTATGCCTTCAACTCTCCCAGTGAAAATGTAGTTTGTGGATAGGGGTGCCATGCTGTGAGTTATGTCTCACTTTAAAGTTATAAGTCTCTTCCCCAAGGTGAGAGGGTGACAAAAAGGCACATATAGGTATATAGATATATAGTTTCTTATAATAAATATAGCTCAAACAAATGTCAAAAAGAGCATACTACATCCAAGTTTTATTAGTTCCAAATAAACATTAGTAGAACTTAACCTCTATGATTGAAGAAAATAATTATAGAAATTACAAGCTAGGGGGATGATTCGGGAGCTTCCCTCTCACTCCAAAAACCAACTCATCACTTGCTTCAACATTTTCTTCTTCCAATCTGTTCAACCATTCATTGCTCTCATCAATATGATCTAAAGAAATTGGATCATGTTGATGATTTTGATAATCACATTGTTAAGTGCTTGGTTATATTTTAGATTAGTGAAGCCATTGAGACACTTGATCCAATCTTTTCTTCTTTGTTTGATGAATTTTAAAAACAAAATTATTAATTAATATTAGGTCAAAAGTTGATTTTACGTTTTAATTAATATAAGAATAGATGGTAAGGTAATGAACGACAATAAATCAACAAAAATTGATTAAAGTGAGAAAAACTGAGGTATGTGTTGGCAGTAGGGAGGGAAGAAAAAGTTGCAAAACATCATGGATATTAGCAAAATATTTTGCGGATATTGGCAAAATAATGGTAAAATATCAATGAAATATCGGTAAAATATTGATAAAGTGACATGGATATTATGATAGTAAACGTAATGCAAAATATTGGCAAAATATTGAATAGTATCGACAAATTTCGGCAATATCATCACTCTCCCCCTCTTATCATAATCGGACCCAAGAATTTACCAATATATCGCTGAAAATTTTCATCCTTGAGCATTAGGTAGCAATTCTTGCATAACATGAAGCTATCATCTGTGACTTCAACATCTTGAAGAACTGTTTCTTCCTTGTCATAGAAAAGAGTTAGGTTTGATTAAATAATATCCGGCTGTATTTTAAGGCCAATGAAGTTGGTGATCTTATTTTTATCATTGATTTTCTATTTGGCCCATACTTAGCCTCATTTTCATCACAACCTTTCTTAATGTCCTCTTTTGCTCAATCCATAGCAGCATGAATCTAACCCATAGCAAGTCTCTCACCATCAACAAGCCTCATAACGGGCTTGTTGCCTTCAATGTATGAAACAACTAATTTATTTTTTGTTGGCTAGGATTAACTTTTAATTCTAATAATTAGCTTTACTTTTAACTTTTGACATCAGTATTCTTGTAATTCTTGCCTCTGCACTATAATTACTGCGTATCCAAACAGACCAGATTCATTTAATAAATCGTCAACTTCGGAATATCCCTGCGTTCCTTTTGTGAGGACTAAACCTTGGGTATGTTTATATTTGAATATGAGTCTCAAGATATGGTGCTCTTTTATCTCATTCCGCTTTAAATTTGTTTCTCACTTCAAATCGTTAGGTTGAAAGTAATAATTTCTCACTATAAATTTGAACTATTTGTAGATTTTGCTCGATGATGTGAAAATGTCAGAGCAGCTCCTAGACTTGGTGTTTTATATGCTTATTTTTCTTGGAGGTGTCAGACAGGTTAGGCTAGATTCTTTGTCGTTTGGAATTGACATGCTATTATATTATTGTTTATCTTTACTGGTTTGCTCTCTAACAGGAAAAGTATAAATCTGATGGCATTTCTGTTGCATATTCATCATTGGTTGCATGTAGTCTCTATCTATTAACAGGATGCATCTCATCACAGTGGCAAGATCTTGTCCACGTATTGATTGCACATCCTAAGGTACAAATATTTTATACTTTCTAGTTGGTGTTATACATAGATTCATTTAAGCAGTGAAACAGTTTACAGTGCAAGGTGTTATGATTTTTCATATTCATGGATTCTTTGAAGTGGTTTTTATTTTATTATAATATATGTATAAATCCATCTATCATCTCACCCTTATTTTGGTCAATTGGAAGGCTTTTTTTTTTTT